TGCTGAAGCAGTGATACACTTGTGCATGAGGGGAGGAATGGTGCCTTTTGTACTAAAAAATAAATAAAGTCTTACCTGATTTAGGTCTAGATTAACTTAGAAATCACTTACCTTCTAACAATGGTTCAAAAATATATTATTAATAATAAATAGTGTTGGTTTCTAGGAATTCAAACTGCTATTATAGCTAGAGCATGGCATTTTGTTTGTGAATAATATTAAACCTAGGTAACAGAATCTGGCACTTTTTTTACTTTAAATAATTCAATACATGACACTTAGAGGACATTTCTTCAAGATATCCTGTATCTCAGAAGAGTCTATTAAAGATGCCAGATCCAACTCAATTTCTACACCTAAAATTCACAGGGAAAACGAAAACTGTGACTTAATGTTAAAGAATTTACACCACTTTCCTTTTTGACATATTAGGTAAAAGCAATTTGTCATTCCTAAACAACACTTTTGATCCTTGGACATTTCCCGTTCTTATCCATTTAAGATAGCTATCAGTAGGAAATATCAAAAACAACATAAAAAACAAACAAGCAATTAATAACAACAGAAAAACACCAATGATCTGAGACCAAATTTTTCATTCAAGATTTGCTACAAATAATGTGAACATGCAAAATATTTTTGATATAAGAAAAATCATATATTATTTAATTTGTTTGAGCACCTTATCTGCAAAGGGGTTGAAGGTATCTGTTTACATAAGAAGACAGTCCCTTGCAAACTAATAAATTGATGAGTCCAGCAAAAGAGAATATTAAGGTGATAAGGACTCAACAGTACAGGCCTAAGATGGAAACTTTTTCATGCTTAGTTATACTGAACTATCAACTTATGCTACCATACTTGTCTTCGAGAAATTTCAAATAATTTAGCATCAATAATTCTTCAAGTTTAAGATCCTTAACACCACACTTAAATGCAAAATGCTTGTCTTTTTTAATCAGTACAAACCATTAGGCATCACGGAATATTAAAAATAAACCAATGATTTAATCTCTGAAAAGCATATCAAAAAATTCCCTTCCACTTCCTATAGTTACCTTGAATACATCTTCCTTCTCAGAAGGTGCTTCTGGCTCACCTTCAGGAACTTCGGGCTGCTCAGCCACCTTGTCTAGGACAGTATGCCCTTCATTTACTGGTGTAGAAGAAACCAAGATATCAGGCTGTTCACAGTTAACAGGAGTTGCACTTCGTCCACTTTCTTCCATTTCTGTTTCTTCAGTGGGCATAATTAATGTTTCATTTGCTTCTTCAGGTTTTCCTTCAACAGATTCAACTGTTTTAGCCTTTGGAGTTGAAGAATTAACCATAACAGGTACTAAAGCATATCCCTTGCCTGACAATTCATCATCTGAATTGATTTCACTTACACTACGGCTATCTAATGACTGTACACTAAACGAGTCTATTCTTTCAAAAGCATCAGATGAGCAGCAACTCTCAGTGAGTTTTTGGAAATCATCTAAACGATTATATTCAGGACAAGCAGATGCTGAGAGAAGCTGAAAGGATGTCTGCATCAAGTGCAGACTTGATTTTGAATCTGTAGTCTCTTGTCTCGAACTTGCTGAGCTCTCACTTATTACACTTTCATGATCTAAAACTTCAATATCACTAGTGGTAGAAGTACCTGATGAGAAGGTACTAACGGGAGGAGAAGGTGTATTGCTCTGTCTGTCTTCATGTTTTTGCTCCTTAGGTTCCAAAGCCATGTCCTTTGCTTCCGCTGTGAGAGGCTGTGTAGGCATATTAGATACATTTTCCCTAGTTGTTTTCACATTAATTATACTTTCAGATACTTTCAAATGTACTGCTGACACCTTTGTATCAGATTCTTTATTAAGAGTTTCTTCACGCTTGCCCTCAGTTTGAGGAGACAGAATACTGGCTGCCAGAGGTTCCCCCGATACAAATGGAGGAGAATCTTCTACTTTCGACTCCGCGGCTTCAGTTGTTCTTGACTGTCCAGCGTGCAAGGACTCCTGTAAGGTGCTTTTCACTTCTTCTTCTGGTCGCTGTGATTTAGCTGGTGGTTTTGATACCACTGGACTCTTCTGAATGGTCTGGACATCGGTGGGAGACAGAAAGGCACTGAAGAAATTTTCAGATTCATCTACCACAGTTCTCCGAACTGGCTTTGTAATTGCTTTAGGAGAGGCTACGGGTTGATTCTGAGGTTCAGTGTTGGATTTTAACCCCCAGGTTGAAGTATCCCATCCTCCACTGACAGGGGGACTTATTCCTTTAACAAAAAATATATATATATATTAAAAAAGAAAAAAATATACCTATGTATAAAGCATTTAAATTACAATCATTACCATAAGTCAATATAAATATGTTCTTTTAAAACCCTACAGAATACAACTCGTAATTTGGACATGCTGAAGTCCTTGCTTACTGTGTAATTAATTAGTCCACCGTTTAACTTTGGGCCTTGAAAAGGAAAACTGGTGTGCATCTGCCAAGAGGACCTAGGAGCAAAGCTGAAAGACTAGATTGAAGCTGGCCTACCAGAAGCAAGTATGTTATTCCCTCCTACAACAAATTAATAAAGTAATGGTATGTGTTAATAACCAATGCTTAGTCCAAGATACATATGATGCATCTCATAATAACGGGCAGTATCTTCACTTACAGGTCATGTGTAGTCATGGCAAATAGAATCTACCTTCTATACAATTAGTTCCATATTAATTTTATTCTTGTAATATCAATGATAAAACATAGTTATCAGCTAGACAGATGGCAACACTCAAAAACTGAACCCAAAATACTGGTGACAAATGTCCTTTTTCAAAGATCAAAGTAAACTGATGGGAACAGTAACTTCTAAAGGGCAAATTCATTTTCATCCACTTAATGACAAGCTCATTCTCCACGTCCCACTCTCCAAACCTACTCTGAGAAAGTTTTGTTCTCTTGCTAAATTCCACATTATGTTAGCAATTATAGAAGGTCATATGAATTTCAAAAATGCACATTTTTAAAAACATTGCTTTTTGACAAAGACAGCAGTTTACACTAGGATTTTTTTTTTTTTTTAAACACTAGGGAGAAAATAACCATCTTCTGAGCAAAAAAGATAATTCTATCAGTCATACAAATAATATGTTACTAAAAAAACCCGATGATAAACAAAAAATGGCATATTTGCTAAAATATTTAAAGCATTTCTTTAAAAAAATTTCTTCCATTTCTAAATTCAAAAGTGGCTGAGCAGAATCATCACAAACCCCAAACACTTAAAAGCTGGTGAGCAGAGCACAAGTACCTAAAAGCTCCTAAAAGCTAACAAGCCCAATACTAAATTCTATCCTTTAATATGACTTCGGAGATAACTAGGCAATTTTAGCTTGGGGATACAGTTTTACATCCATTTGTTCAGTATAACAGAACGGTGGAAAAAGGGGGGAAAACAAAATAAGACACAAAGGAACAAGCAAAATAAAATCTGATTAGTTTAATTTATTGTCATGTCAACGAATGACAGAAGTCAAATTTGCCTGTTGGAGAAAGTTTTATATAAATCGCAGGGTTACGTGATATCCACTTAAATCACTCCATTATGACGACTGGTCATCTTTGAGTGACGGCGATGTAAAACATAGGTGATCAGTCAACATTTATGGCATTTCACTAAAACCTGAGTCTATTCTGGATAACTTATTAAAAAAAAAAAAAGAATTATAGAGCAGGATTCGAGCCCCGGATTTCATAAAAGGAGTATCCTTACATTTACAACTTATATTCTGTCTCTTTTACAGTTAAGGCATTCAAAACGTGGGGTAGCCTGAAAAAAGGAAGTGGAGCTCCTCCCACCAAGATCCTATAACATCTTGAAAAAGTAACAGGATGGTGACATAAACACATGAGCCAAAATATCTTAAAACGATGCACCTCAAATTTAGATCCTGACTTCTCAAAGACGTAAAATGAGGAAAAGAAAGCAGAAAGGAGTAGTCAGGAATAACTTATTCCTTCTCCCAGAGGTTCACAACCCCAAAGTCGGGCCAATCTGCACCCCACACACCAAAAAGGAGAAACTGTTGCTTACACTTAGAGCTAAAAGCAGCTGAAGATCCCTGAAAAGTGAAGCCCAGGGACTCTTGAGAAAGAGAGACGAGACTATTGGAGGCTAGACCGCGACGCGACTCGAAGTCGCGGGCCGCGCCCCCCAGACCCTCCCGCGGGTGGAGTGGCCCAGAGGAAGGGACCGCGCCGTCTCTGCACCACGGAGGGCAGCGCCAGAACTCGAGAAGCTGTTTCAGGAGAGACGGCCATACAGAGCCCAGGAGGCGCGCAGCAACCGCTAAGTGTTCGCGCCTGTTCTTCCAGTCCCCGCGGACTGATTCCGATATTGGGCTCGGACAGCGTCCCGAGCGCGCAGCCGGCCCGGGTTTGAGGGCCTGTGATGCGGCCGACGTGGAGGGAGGGCGCGGGGCCACGACCACCTAATCAGGTCCCCGTCAGCCCCCACCCGGGGCCAGGAAAGACCCAGGGCTGGGTTCTCCCTCGGGACTAGAGCAAAGACCAACTGGAAGGCCAGAGCAGGGTTTGGGGCCGGGCTGGGGACCAGGACTTGACCATTAAGTCCGTCGCTCAGCGAGGCGAGAGCCCCCACTCCCCCACCCCCGCCGCTTCACCTGTCGGTCTCGGAAGAGACGCCCGCGGGAGCGCAGTGACGCCGCCGCTCGAGCCCTTACCCGGCTCTCCGTACGGAATGGTCTCGGCCCAGGCGCTCGGCTCCTCTTCCTGGATGTCCAAGACCCTGTCGATGGACTTCTGGGCCTGAGACAGGGCCTGCTTGGCGAAGCTGGAGAGCTGGGAGGCGTTGAACCAGCTCATATCTCCTCCTCAGCCGCCGCCGGGGGCGGCGGCGGCGGCGGCAGCACCGAACTGGAAGGCCGAGGGACAAGTCGACTGCCGCGGACCCGGCGGAGGGTCCCCGGAGAGCCTCGCCCCCTTCTCCACTCGGCGGGCCCTGTCAGCGGGGAGCCATGACCCCGCAGGTCTCCCCCGAGCCGGAGACGTTACCCTCAGCGCTTTCCTTACAGATGAGACGAGAGGCTCAGACTGCGCAGGCGCTGGCTGCTTCCACGTACACAACCGGCAAGTCCCGGAGCCTAAAGTTCCGCCGGTAGACGGAAGAACCGAAGAACGTTGACGTCACTTCCTGGGTTCCAGGATTGCCCGTAGTTATGGAGGAAGGTGGAACGGTTCCTATCGAAACTGATTCCAGACGTAGTGCGGCGATTGTCAGCCCTGGGAGGAATCCTGTGGCTATATCAGCAGGGGCTCATTCCTCCGGGAGGAATATGCGAGTTCTGAAATGAGTTCCTTCCTGGAAAATAGCTCTTGTATTAAGAGCTAGAGCCTTGCCAGCAATAATTGAACAGGGAAGTTTGGGTCTTGCGTTTCTCTTACTTAGCGTCTCCTCTGTTAATCAGTTCTGTGTCAACCTGGCCTTAGGAAGGAACTCTGGGTTTGGGTATGTCTAAAACTACCGGGCATCTTATGAAAGGACCTGATCCAGCCCATCTGATGCAAGCAAGTAAAAAGCCGTCTTCCACAATAAGTAACGAGAAATCAGGACAAGGGCACAATCTCCCCCTTAAGATACAGGTCCACTGTCGGCCTCAGTCAAAACAAACCTGGGAAGCATTAAAACTATTACTCTTAATATGTACTGTGCATAGTATTTAAAATACAACTTTTTTGCATGTGCTCTTCAAACAAATCAAATTGGTGGCCTTCCTAATCTAGTCAGCAGCTGTTTGGTTTGGCCCCCATAATATTAAAATTCTACCAACATTTAAAAGCCAGATTCCACAGAAAAATCCAGACATCCAGCTGATTTTGAAAAATATGTACACCAACATGCAACAGTCAGCTGCAGCAGTTGCCACTTTTGACGAATAATTTTCACTTCAATATGTCACAGACCCCACTATTCTAAACACTCTTCCTAATGTGTTTATTTACCTCACCTGTTTCCCCTACACTTAAGTATTTTACAGCACTGCAAGGAACCATGCCATAAAGGAATTATTTTTATTATTTTTAGCCAGATTTAAACTCTGCCCTTGAGAAGTTATGATCTTCTGATGATTTTATCTAACTTCTGCAAAAATTTGCATATTGCAACTTTTACAATTTAGTAATGTACACAATAGTATTAAGTAACTCAGGTAATTTCAAACAGCTTAGCTAAGTAGCCTGAAGACGAGGTCAGGTTAGGCTTGGAATCCCTCCCTGTTCCAAGACTTCTAATTGTACAGCTTGAGGTAAATGACCTAAACTTTCTAAAACTATTCAGCTCTCAAATGAAGATATTATCACCTTCTCACAAGGCTACTTTGAGAATTATTGTAGCACCTGTATATAGCACCTGTAAACTGAATCTGTAACTTTTAAGGAAAGCATATACATTTATGCCATATGATTTTATAACGAAACAAATTGTCAATATAGAGCTAGAAATAAAAATAAATGAAAATTTAACCCACTGACATGTAATCATAAAGTTTTCAAATAGAAAACTGACATCCAAGTCAAAAACGGAGAACATGTACGACATGTTCCCACACTAAGATACTAAAACTCATTTTCAGTATTTATGCTTAATTTTGTTTTAAGCCTTAGTCCTTTAGGGGGGGGAAAAAAGCATTTTAAGAGGCGTTAATATAAAAATATAGTCATTCCATTTCATTACCTTATTATGTTAGAGAAAATTAAATCAGTACATACTTATTGTGGCTAAAATATTAATTCAAGTACCATAAAATTTTCCTATTAGTAAATCTGCTACATTATTTAAAAATTATTTCTACCTTACTACAGAAGTACTTACTATCCTTAATATACTTTAAAAAATTTCAGTGAGAAAAATAGACAATATATGATTTTATTAATAAATAGTGTGAAAGCATCAGTGATAACTGTTTAAACATTAAACTCTTTTAAACATCCATGTCTTGGCTTTAATGTTGGGCATACTGGCCTCTATGGCACTGCAAGTAAACACACGAAAATACTTCCCATTTCCATGCACAGGTATTCAGCTATAACACCATTTACAAATTATTACGGACAAGATTACTTTTGCAATAGTATTCATTTGGACAGCCACAATTAAGTGAATATTAGATCAAGCAAGAAGCAGGCTATGTTCAATATGCTCTAGACATCAGGCTGTAGTATTTAATGTTATTTAAAACTTAATTTTCTTATTTTTTAAAAGGGACATATTTTGTATATGTGGGTGCTCAAATGAAAACTGAAGAATGCATTCTTTGACCATAACAAAATTCATATACAAGAGGGCGTTTGCCTCCTCCTCTAAAAGAAGCAATAAATTTGCTCATAATATCTCTCTCCAGGCACCATTTTCCATATTACTAATGAAAATGCTGACAAGCAGCAACTCCGAAATTCTGTCTTCAAGGGAAAGTTACAAAGTTAAAAAACAGTGGCTCATTATAAAAAAAAATCAAATTCCAGCAACACTAATGCTAAAAATGACATCTATTAAATTTCTTAGCATCCAAGAAGTATAATATTTTCATAAGTTTTCTATTATGTGCAGATTTCCTTTCCTTCCTTAAGAAGTAAAATGAAGTTTGAACAGTACAGTCTGTGGTGTAGTGACATCAGCAACTGCCAATTCTTGCCCATCAACGAGTCCCAATTCTAAAAGAAAAAATATACAATTAACCCAAGCAAAAAAACTCAACAAAATACACACATATACAAACTATAAAGAATCACGGGCTAGATAAAGATCAAAATCCAGTTCTCTTTATTTAATCAAGGTAGTATTATATTTGATTTCCTAGAGATTTTTTAATATTCTACTAAAAGAGCAATAAACTCTATTAATGTTGCTAAAGATATAAGTAGGATGGCAGCACCATTTAAAAGCATTAAAAGCAAATCTAGAAGAGGCATTTATTACTTTTACTGGAAAAAAAAAGAAATTGATTAGTATTAGTAAATATACTCATTTAAAATACCTTTCAATGTCTTGGAGAGATTTGGCCTTGTTCGTTCTTCAATAGAGGTTACTGACTAGAAAACAATAATGTAAAGCACATTAAGTGAAATTAAACTTTTAATATAATTTTGTGGAAAAAAAAAACTGAACACTGATCACCTGTAAGTAAAGTGTTCTATTTTTTCCCTCTAATGTGGCTGTGATAGCTGGAGATTTCATCTGCCTAAATTATAAGAAAAACGAAGTCAAAGATCACTTTTTAAAAAACAATCCTAGTTTTTAAAGTCAGGAAAGTTCTTCTACAACATAACAAAAGTCTTGAACACTTACAGAGAAGCACTATTGGTTAGATAATCCAAAACCTCCTGCAGTTTAGCTGATGGAGAAAACTGAATGTTTTGAGGAAGCTGGCTACAAGCTGGGCAGTTTTCCTAGATATAAAATAAAACACAAATCACAGTGGCACATGTACCAGTAACAGTCTCTTTATAATGAGGAAATGAAAATCAAGTTGTTTTAATAATCATGCATATTCCCTATGAACAAATTTTTATGTTTTAAAACCTGCTTTTCCTAAAGGGCCATTTTCCTAAATTATTTTGCTATACAGTATTTATTTCAGGATACAGTATTACAAAAGATATATCAGTAAGTAGGGTTCTGGAAGTTAGAAAATACTTAGAAAGGGTGTGGGCAATTTCATTCACATCTCCAGCCAGTAATTAATATTTAAAAATCAGGGACTTCCCTGGTGGCACAGTGGCACAGCCAATGCAGGTGACACGGTTTTGAGCCCTTGTCCGGGACGTCCCACATGCTGCAGAGTGGAGCAACTAAGCCCATGTGCCACAACTATTGAGCGTGTGCTCTAGAGCCCGCGAGCCACAACTACTGAGCCCACACGCCACAACTACTGAAGCCCACGTGCCTAGAACCTATGCTCTGCAACAAGAGAAGCCAGCGCAATGAGAGGCCCACACACCGCAACAGAGAGTAGCCCCCACCTGTGGCAACTAGAGAAGGCCCGCGCACAGCAGTGAAGACCCAACACAGCCAAAGATAAATAAAATTTTCTAAATAATAAATAAAAATAAAAATATGCATGATCAAACAAGTTTTCACGGGCTTCCCTGGTGGCGCAGCGGTTGAGAGTCCGCCTGCCGATGCAGGGGACATGGGTTTGTGCCCCAGTCCGGGAGGATCCCACATGCCGCAGGGCGGCTAGGCTCGTGAGCCATGGCCACTGAGCCTGCACGTCCGGAGCCTGTGCTCCACGACGGGAGAGGCCACAACAGTGAGAGGCCCGCGTACCGCAAAAAAAGCGTACTGGAACTGATTCCTTACCTTTGAAGCAAAGGTTCTCAGCCCAAGCTATATGTGAGAATTGGCTGTTTAACTTATTATAGACATCCATGACTGGACCCTATATGCAGAAATTCCAATTCAGTAGATCTCTGGATCCTTGCATTCATTTGTACTTCTTAAAAGCTCATAGGTTTAAAAAAAAGCTCATAGATTATTCTGATGTGCAGCCAGGTGGGGTAACTCTAATAGAAAGCTTTCAAAAAAAAAAAAAAAAGTTTTCATTAGTATACTATTACTAACCTTTCTCTCTGCTTCAAATGTGTACGTGTACAGTCCATCTACATCATTGAATACCAAGTAATTATTAAGGGGAATATATGCACTGTAATGAAAAAATGTTCATTCTTATGTAATTGAGCCAGATCAAAACACAGATTTACAAATGTATTAAAAATGAAACCCATTACCTTGTGGCTATTTTAAAAACCTCAGTGGCACACACAGCTAAAGCGGAGAGAAAATAAAGGTGCTTTAACTCAATGAAAATTAGACATTTAAAATTAGAAGTTTTTAAAAAGTCAGTTAGAAATCAGTACAGATAAATTTACAAGGTTATTGATTACAAAATAAGTAGATAGCAAAATACATACATAAACACTCTTATTTGTAAAAACTGAGAAAGTAACATTTTATATTCGTTTTGTATACTCCAAATGATAGAGTACCACCTCATGTTTTTC